TTTGTTATATCAGCACAGACAATAAATTCCACACGAGCACAGAGGGTTCCATTATTTTGCAATTTTCTCTATCATTCGAATGGCATTTGTGCATTAAAAGTCCATAAATTGCGTAAATTCATAAGCCCGCAGATTTCCGGTAACAAAATGGAGTTTGGCAAACCCACTCTGGTGGTGGAGGATCCCACTTATCCCTCATCCACACAACCAGCAATGACCCCGACCTCCGACCCTCTCCTGTCGCAGGGAAACACTGCAACACACAGACCATTTCCATCACCACCGTTTTCCCAGACAGACAATTGCAACACGATGTGGCAGCGATAAATTTGCTTTGAAAGTTCCAAACCGAAAGTTTTCCGGAAAGTTAATTGATTTATATTTTGACGTTTTTCGCAAAAAGGCAAAAGAGGGAACAGCTAAAAAATGGGAACGGCGCTGCAGCCACATCAGCGGACTTGCAGCTCCAGAGACCTTTCGTGACAAGTGCCAGGGAGTCAATGCCACGTGGGTGGCTTCACAGAAGAAAAAAGGTTATTATTTCCAGTAAATCTTTTTATAATTTCATTACTTTTAATTTTTTTATGGCGACGCTACAACTTATAGAATGCGTAGAGCCAGTATTATAAGTTCACCTAAATATACCAAAGTTTGATTAATATTAAAAACCTGTATTTTTCTGGGTTGTAAATGATTTTCTATAAATAAAAACAAGCATTAAAAACAAAAATAATTTAAATAATAATAACTATTAATAAAATTGTTTTTATATATTTTAGATTAAGTTCTTTCTCACCATGTTTCTGAATATGTTTATGAGATTCACAATTTTATAAAAGAAACAAAAATTATCCTTTGCAAAAGCTACTTGTAAGTTTGCATTACATCTTTATTTAATTTATCTCTCTAGTTTATTTATTGCCTACTAATATTATAGGAATCCCTCAGTATTCTTTATTAATCCTAATCAAAGACTGACTGATCTGAAATTTGGTATGTGGGTTAGAAATACCTAAAGATACATACCCCATTTCATATTATATTTTAAACAGTTTAATGGGCGGAAAAAAGCTAAATTTATGGTTATAATTAGATTATTATAGGAAGTCTAAGGAATTTTATGTGATGAATATTATGGGAAGCCTTAGATTTAGAGCAAATATTATTATATTTTGCAATATTCTAAAAGATACAAATTCCCATCTTTTAAAATTCTTCCTATTGTGCAATAAGAGGAAGGTTCTTGTTATTATTATTTATACATATGTATATATTTATATACATTCGCTTTATTTACCATATTTCTCCGATACAAAATCTAAATTAAAATCTAAAAAAATATATATCTCTATAATTTAAATTACATTATACTACAGTAAAATGAGCATGATAAGGTAATGTTTTCATTATACAAACATTACAATTGCAAATCTGGAAGATTTAGTGGGGCAAACTCTAATCCTCGATCCATTTATCAAAATATTTCTCACACAAAGCTGGTTTTTAGTATGTGTATACAACATTATAAAATATATATGTATTCTTATCTTTTAATTGGTTTTTTTTATTGTTTAATGAGTAGCAGAAAGCTGAATTTTAATATGTAGGTTTACAATTTCAAAAGATACATATCCCTAAAGCTTTCATACTGCATTTTACTATAGTTAAATGAACAGCAGAATTTACAGTTCAAAGTTCTGGTTATAAAAACAACATATTTGCCAACTTTAGTGATAGTTTTTTTTACTGTACCTCTGAGTGTGTGTGCCAGACGCTGCTGGAAGTTTAGTGCTGCCCCAAAAGTTACTTTATCATGTGCTCCAATTAGTGCAGCGAGCAGGGGGTATGGAACGGGCAGGGCGAGGGGAATGGGAAATTGCTTTTGTGCCAGCGTCGCAGTCGCAGCGATGAAAAATAAAAATGGAGTGTCACGGCAGTCGCTTTGTTGTTGCCAGTTAAGGGGGACCGGAGCTGAGCAGCTGAGGAGGTGGAAAGGTTCTGGGGGCCCTTGGACAAAGTCTCCCCATTGTGCCCACGATGAGTTGCTTCCGCTGCATTGTGCCCATGCAGGCCCTCTCTCTTCCGCTCTTCCTCACCAGCCACGTCACAGTTGCTCAATTGCACGGGCTCTCCAGCACGGCACTCACCTCTCTCCCACTCCTCACTGGGCCAACCTGAGCTGCAAGCTTAGCATTTTTGTAGCTAGATCCAGCATATTTGATTATGGAATTGCTTATTAAAGTTGCAAAAAGCTTACTTAAATATAGTTTATTTAACATTAACATTTTTTAATATACCATTTCAATGTTTACAAATAAATAAGCAATTTAATTCAATTAGAAAAATAATAATATATATCTCCTCTTATTTGGATATATCTTGCTATTTTTTAATTTAAGTATTTTATTTTAGCTTAACTTTGCTCAGAATCTAGCTTTTACGTAGCCGGCCACCCGATCTGTCACTCTCGCTCAACCTCCCTTCCCCTCCCATTTATTCTCGAGCACTTCGGCACTTCGTGGAATCGTTCGGCTGGGCTCGGCTCTTTCGGCTGGCGGCTGTTCGGCGTCTTTCATCACCATATTTCTGAGTGATGAAAATTATGTTGATGACGTTTGCACAGCGCCCGTGCCCCCCATCCAGCCCCAAACCCTCCCCACTCCCCCTAGCTGTAGGCCCCAGCGGCGACAACTAGCGAAAGTTGCGCTGAATTTGGAACATCAGCGTTTCGCCGCTGCTTCTGTTTGTTTCTTTTTTCTTTGTTTTCGTTTAGTTCTCTCTGTCTCTCGTTTTTCCTCCGCTTTATCCATTTCGAGGCGGACAGCGCAAAGCGAAATACGCAAAAATTCATTTACATGAACGCAAAATTTATGTGCGTATTTACGGCTACTTTATACTTTGATTTGTGCCTGCTTTTCGAGCGCTTTACTTTTTATGTGCATACATTTCGTTGTTGATATTGCTGCGAAGTCGGGCGACGACAGCGGTCAGCGGTCGCAGCCATCTCGCTCGCACGCCAGCTTATCACGGCCTTTGGCGTGCTCTCCGCTTGCACCTTCGATAGCTCAGTTGGTAGAGCGGTGGACTGTAGTTGACTCCAAGTAAATAGAAATCCATAGGTCGCTGGTTCAAATCCGGCTCGAAGGATGGTTCTTTTTTTGTTTGTTTCCTTTTTTTATTTTTATTATTTGAAAACTAGTGTCTATTTAGCATTTTTAAATGAGTTTTATAGCCAGCATGTTGAGAATTAGTACTTAGGTGACTAGTAATTACTAAGAAAACAACTACAAGAATTTACATTCGTACATTTTAACATTTTTGATTAAGAATTAAAGTTCTTTCTAAGCAAAATTAATACCTGAACGTTTAAAATTTTAAAAAATGTTTACTATTTTTAAATCAGCAATTTAGAAGTTCAAAATTATAAACTCATTCGTATTAATTATTTTTTAGTAAATTTAAATGTATCATTCAAAATCTCAATGAAAAATCTAGTGTTTAAGACAATGTATTAATGGTTTGTTTCTTATAAAAAACATCGGAATGGTCTTATTATTGCTAGAATAAATTACAACTAATTGGCTAAATATAACAAACGTACATATATTCTGAACAATGAAAAACTAATTAATAAATAAATGCATTCTTAAAACTATACAATAATATACAAACTTTTGAGTGTTCTATCCAAGTATCCTCTATCTCAATTTTTATACCCTTGCAGGGCATAACAACTTTGCTACGCAGTGAAGGAGGCAACTCCGACCATATAAAGTATATAAATTCTTGAGCAGGATCAACAGCCGAGTCGATCTAGCCATGTCCGTCTGTCCGTTTCTACGCAAACTAGTCGCTCAGTTTTGAAGCTATCTGAATCTTTGTAGTTAGTCTTCTATATACTCTCACTCGTATATATGTCGGAACGGGCCGGATTGAACGACTATATCATATAGCTGCCATAGGAATAATCGGAAAATTTTTACAAAAAAAATTAATACATTTTCAGTTTTCAACAGAATTTGATCAAACTTGAAATATAGCCATTTTATTTTACTCTTCAATTTTGTGTAAAATTGTATGAAAATCGGACGACTATATCATATATGTACATAGGTGTCATACAAACGATCGTTTGATGTAGAGGAAAAATGCAAATCTATGAATGTAAAACTGCAAATATAATATGTATAGGTGAATGAAATGAAAGCAGATATTACTTCATTGTTTTTTAACATAAATATAGATAATTTATATTGTATGGCATAGAAGTTCTATCTGTAAGGGTATATAAACTTCGGCGTGCCGAAGTTAGCTTCCTTTCTTGTTTCTATATACATTTCACATTAAATCCGTTATAATTTCGATATTTTAATATGGGCTTTCGAATTATTAAAAACGTTTTAATTTGAATTCCAGTGTTAAACAACGACAGTAATTGGCCTATTAGCCTTAATCAGCTTGGCGTACTTATTTCTAGTTGGCTTAAAGTACAGTACGGTCAACGACAAACACTATTTCGAAGCAGTGAGAGAGGGAGAGGCAAATAGCCTACAGAGACCGAAAATTAAAATACTAAAAAGTAGCATAGCCTTAAGAGATTGCGCAAGTGTACAATTTTATTATTTCCATAGCGGAATGTGAAAAAGTATAAGAAATTTTATAAAACTGACTGTTGTTTGCCTCTCACGCTTTCTTGCAGTTCTTTTACATATTTTAATTTATGGATCCCGCCATAAACAATAATGTGCAGAAAAGTTGCGTTCAGGTGCTGTTGAAGAGAGGTGGCGCTTAAAAATTTGTTCCAAATATTGTTCCATTCCGTTTGTTTCAAATAGAGTAAAGTACAAAGTATGACCGCATCCATTGCCCTTCAAAAATGCCAAAGAACTTGCTAGAATACATCATTTTGAGCTTGAAATCAGTCATGCAACAAGTTTTGAAAAGGCCGCGCGTACATTCTACATACATATTTTTCATAGCCTTAACCCAGTAGGCATAAACTTCTTAATCCGGAATATTGCTATATTTAGTCACATCATTTTTTTTGTTTTCATAAATAGAAATTCATCTAAGGCGCCTGAAACTCAGAAGATGGAGGAATCCCTTGGTGAAGAGAACAAAACAGTGGCTGTGAATGACGGTGAGTGAGACAATAAGGCAAAAGGAAGACTTTGGATTATATTAAATCTTCCAATAGAAGGAACCCCAGAGCTAATGCCGCTAAAGGTTGTGCAGAAATTCATTGCCGCTAATAAATACGGCTTTAAATGCCAGGAACTCGCCAAGAACTACATCCTGAGCTTCCTTAAGCGCACCTATGTGCCATGGATGTCGGGAAAGAACGTGCCGGCATTCTTCCAGCACAAGGGCTTCAAGCATGCAGCCTTTCTAAGGACCTCCGAGGCGGAGAGCCACAAGTGGAGCCTGAAGAGCAAGTGGATGCGTAATCACTGGATTGTGGAGCAAAAGGCGCGCCACCTGGCCGAGGCACCTAGCCTGCATCTGCGCGCGGGGAGCGATGACGAGGAGCGGCCACCTACTCCAATGCTGAGGCAGCCACCTAAACCCAAGCTGGACTTGGACAATGTGACGTTTGTGGCGTCCCACGGTGTGCTGAGGAAGATGTGTCGCAGGAACGGCTGCCCGTACTTGGAAAAACCAATCAAGGTGAAGCTCACCCTGGGCTACCGCCTGGTGCCGCTGGGTTTCGACAACGGACAGAGCTTTGAGATCTGTCTGGCCATTTATGAAGAGGTCCCTGAACCGGTGCTCTCTGAATTCTCTAACTTCTCGGGGAGTTTTAACACCTTCGATTCCTCTGACACTTCCGACTCCTCTGGCTCGGATATCGTAACCCTAGTCGGCGCCAGGAAGCGTCGATCGGCCTTCAACGCGAAAGAGGGGAAGCCCGAGAGAAAGCCAGCACGTAATGTCTTGCTATCGTAAATAAATACTAAATACATTCCAAATACATTACTATATTATATATACATATGTAAGTAGATTAAGATTGGGAAAGTGCGATTTTATAGATTCAAGGATTTCAATACTCAAAGCAACGGATAATGGTTAAAATAAGTAAACTTTTGGTCAAGTCAAAGTATTTCATTTCTGATTTAAATGCTTTCAAGTCTCATTCAGTTTTAATTTCACAATATACCCTATACATATGTACGTATAGTATTTTTGAATATACTCTTGCGAAATATTATGTAAACTTTAATGATTTATGTATCTTCTGGGACACTTTAAGCATATAAAATTTGATTTAAATATAAAATATCATATGTTTTGTTAAATGCTAATTTCAGACCATATAAAGAATATAAATTATCGTTGCGAAAAAATATCTAAACAAGCCAAAGTTTGGGAGAAGAGTTTTACAACAGGTGAAAGCATTTTTATTTTTAAATTAAAAAAAAATAAGGTCTTTGTAAGTTTCTCAAATTTAAAAAGGTGCCTACAGTAGTTGAATTTTATCAAAGAAGGAAAAAACAACTAAATTTATACTAAGAGTTAGCCTAAAAAGACATTACGAAATTGTTTAACAAAAGTCCACAGATCATCCTCATTTATTTATTGAAATTAACTAATTATATTCTTCAGATTGAGTTTGTAAATTTTAACCAAGTTTCCAGTCATTTTGTATTAGGAAGTCAGGAAATAATTATGAACTTCTCTGTACCGCCTTCCACATTGCTTTTCCAACAAATTTATGAGTTGTTCTTTTTTCTATGTCATTTGTGAAACGCGCAAGTTTCTATTCGAGCTAATGTTGGTGAAAGTGGGAATCTGTTGGAGAAGTCGGCCCAAGAAAGGCCTTTCAAATGGCAAAACTCCCGCAATTTTGGGGCAAAATTCGCACAGACAAAAGCAAAACTTTGCAGACACACAACTTTCAGGTGCCGGAGGGGGAAACAATAGAAAAATGAGCTGGATTTTCAGCGGCGAAATATAATTAGCGAAGTCGTGAGGCAAAAACAAAAGGGAAACACAGAGAACGAGACGAAAAAGCCATTTGGAGGCCTGTTTTTTGCCTTGTTTTTTTGTCTTGTTTTTGCTGTTGTCCCGAAACGTTCAATTAACATTGGCGGAATTGGCGGAGAGCTCCAAGCTTTTTTTGGGGCTGAAAATCATCGGTTTGCTGTGTATGCATGTGTGTGTGCGCTGTTGTGTGTGTTTTGCACTGTTGCCGCTTTTCACTTCGGCACGACGACGAAACGAAAAAGTGGCGCGCAGCGAAGCGAAGAAGAAGCAGCAGCAGCTTATGAAATTTTCCGCGTTTTTCGAACTCGCTTACTCTCCCTCTCTCTCTCTCTCTGTTTCGAAATCTCTCTCACACACACGCCGAACAGCCGGCTTAAATTGCGGCGAATTCGCTCACGAGAGCATGCGTTTTTCTATGCAAGTGTATGTGTGTGTGTTGTGTGAAAATCTCGCATTCGAAATTCGAATAAAATATTAAGTTCGAAAGCCGAGTATCTTGTCAGTCGTCGTCACTCGCACACCAACGCACTTTACTGCTTTGCTTCAGTTTCTTGCTACGTTGCCGCTTTTCACACATTACGTAGCATGGCGAAAACGAAATGAAATGAAAAACTCGAGGGCGACAAAAGCGTAGGGAGAGGGTGGTGTATAAGTATGTGTAGGTGGCGATGTTGGCGCCATTTATGACGATTATTAAGTTAAGTTAATTCGATTTTGATGCACTTTACTTCGGCACCTTTCAATTTTCACCCTTTCCCCGCTTTTTCCCCCATTTTCCTTTCGCACTTTTCCCATTTGAAAATTACCCGCATTTATTGTATTTATAAATATAACATATTTTCGAACGTTCGCATCTGGGTAATATTTAAATTTAGAACGTTTTCTGCTTCCTTTTTGTTTGTGTTTTTGGCGTGACGCTTTGGCATTTCGATTGCGCGTTTTGTTTTCAATTAAAGCGCAAAAATTACCGCTGCCTTTGCTCCGATTAAATACAGTTGTTTTTTTCTCGTCAGATTACAGTTGGTTGCCATGCGTGTGTGTGTGTGTGGTGTGGCTGTGTGTGCTTTGTCTGGCGCTGTGTGACGTCACGCGGTGGCAAAGTCCCGCTGACCTTCAAGCTTGACGCCATTTTTTATTATGTGCGTTCGGACGAGCGATAACTGTAATTGATGGCCATAATGCCGCATAATGGAAATGTCACTTTTACACTTTGTCATCACACTTTGTGGCGTTTTCTAGAGTAAGTGGAAAGTAGAAATTGATTGTTTTAATTATTTGAAGTATTTTTTTATCCCACTTTATTATTTTATTTATTTCTCTGAAATTTGCTAATACTGTAAGCCAAACAACTAAGTTGTTAATTCATTAGTTAATGGTTTAAGCACATTAACATTTTTAAAACAATTGCAAAGTTCTTGTTGGACATAATTAAAATATTAATTAAAAAAATGAGTGTTATTACTGTATTAAACTGTATATATCATAATTTGTTCTTGGATATTGTAAAATTGTGTTACTTAGGCTTATTTTTAAAATTTTGAACTAGGATAACTATGAATTTAAATCTAAATGAAGATACTAATTGGAAAATCCTTGTTTCCTTAATTAGATTGTCTCTAGTTTTTCATAAAATTTGTGTTAAAAGTATTCTTAATTGGATTTATTCTAAAAAAGTGTAGGCAAATACATATTTGTAGTATTTAAGAGAGGCTAAGATCTATTATGTTCCTACTATATTCAGTCTAATTTAAGGTAAATAATGATATAGAAATATCGAATTAATATTTACCAAATTAGGTAAAGAATTTCTAGCCTTTCAAATTTATAACATAACACAAAAATCATCCATTTGTATAAATAGCCGAATTTTCCTATCAAATACTTATCATATCAGTATGTTACAAATTCATATTCATGATATTCAAAGTGTTATCGAAACGCTTAACCTCTGAATAAATTGCTCATGTTAACATCACACTTCCAGTTTCCGCTGGCCTTCCTCTCCATACACAAAATCGTTCTCCTAACCGGAGGCCCCTATAAATCCAGGTTTTCGACAGCTCCATTCGTTAAAAATGGTAATTTGCAGCCGCAGTAACGCAGCTGTAACTGCCACCGGGGCGACATGAAACGAATTGAGGGAATGTTCGGGGGCGGAGAAGCCATTTTATGGCCTGCCAGTCAGGGCCAAAAGCAAATAAGGCAAAAGCAGAGACTCTTGGAACACGGACCCAAAGACTCTCAAATTCAGGCTGACTGACGAGCATAAAAAAAACCGAAAAATGGAGATCCAAAGGCCAGGTGACGCCACAGGAAGGCGCAGCCAGGATGGTGGCTCTGAAGGAAGCTGTCAAAAACACTCTTGGATTTGAAATGGATTGAGATTAGAGTGCATCAGTGCACTGGGAGAAAATTATAAAAGGAGAAGCGAAGTTTTTATTGCTAAAATTAGTGGGTACTTTGTAGGTTCTTCTAAATTTAAATACTTTTTTTGTGAAGTTTTCAGTTAGATTTTGATGTTAGTAAAAGTGGAAATATAACATTATTGTTACCAAGTGAAGTGGATTAGTTGGTTAGGGGTATTGAACAAATATATAAAATATTCTGTAATAGACATAAAAAAATAATAGCTATGACTAAGATAATTGCAACTTAACTTTAGAGATGAAGAGAAACCAACAAGGATCGACAAGGTACCAAATAAGAAATCGATGATAATTAGTTAGTCATAACTACTAATAATTAATTTCCGTTCAGTTAGTTTAACTCAAAAATTTAAAGTTTTAGATTTAAATATAGGACCAAGGGTTCCGAGTATCTGTGCTGTCGCAGATTTGACTCAGGTATTTGTAAGGTATTTCCAATCATTTTGGTAACTTTTTCGCATTCATATTAAAAAGAGTTTTTAGTTTTGTTAAAATCGAACCAAAAGTTATAGGGTTTTAGAAGAGCAATGCGTATTTTCAAACCTGTAATTTTAGAAATGGATTTAAAATTTAGTAACTAATCATACATTACTGGTCACAGATACTTACTGATTATAGTTAATTACTTACTTACTGCTCATAGTAACTTTCTGTTAAAAGTGTAAAAGTTATAATTTTTTTCTAAAAATTGTCCGAGCGTTCCTATGACAGCTATATGATATAGTCGTCCGATCTGACTTTCGACTAACTACAAGGGTGCATAGAGATACCTTAAAAATTGAGGAACTAGTTTGCGTAGAAACGGACAGACGGATGGACAGACGGACGGACATGTCTAGATAGACTAGGCCTTTAATGCTGATCAATAATGTATATTCTTTATATGGTCACTGCGAACTTCTGACTGAAATTATAATAATATAACCCTTAACATATAATCTTTAAAATTTATATTAATACTTTTTGTGGTGTTTTCAAAATTGTATACTGTTATACCTAATGTAAAGATTATTATTCTATTTTGCTTTTAAAAAAAACGAAGATAGATCTTATTTCTCGAGTTTTCGGTCTTATATTAAGAATTTAATAAAGAAATCTAGAATCCTTTGAGTCAGTGTAACATAGGAATATTTATTAGAAAAATAAATAATTTATTACAAATTGGTTCATTATATTATAATTTAACATTAATATTGGTATAACATTACTAATGTTAATTTAGCAAAAAGTTAAAAAAGTATGTACATATGTATATTAAATTGGGTTTCGATCTATAATCGGAAAATCCACCCTTAATCCAAAAACTTTCTTTAACGTTTTCCCAAGTTATTATTGTTATAGTTATTGCTTATATTAATTTTAAAACTACTCTGTATTTTAATAATGTAAATTAAATTTATAAAATACATAAAATCTCCGCACAACCTAATATTTTATACACCTTAATTTTCTGATAGTGACCTCTTCAAAATGGAAGTCGGAGCAGCAGAAAGTACAGGCAACACCGGGCGCGTGCTTGCGAAGAAGAAAATGAAGGAAAAACGAAGGGCAGGCAA